ATGCTAATGTCTAGAAGTGTAAGCCATGTATATGTAAATAGTTTTCATGAGATGCCTAATTTTGATCCATGATTTACAATGAGAGAAAGCACTCCTTACAAGACTTCGAAAATTCCCATTTTGTTAAATGAAACACATTTATAGGCGGATAATACTGTTTTCAATTATGTCTTTATTAAAGTTCACTCTTACTTACTTATGCCTATTAACCTTCATGGAGGGGCATAGGCTGCCCACCAGCACTTTCCAACCAACTCCGTCCTGAGAGATACTTTCGAGTTATTTCCAGTTACTATTCATCCTTTTCATATCCGCTTCCATTTCCCGGCGTAATGCGCTTTTTGGTCTTACTCTTTTTTCGCTTTCCCTCAGGATTCCAAATAAGCGCTTGCCTCGTGATGCAGTTTGGTGGTTTCCTCAATGTATGTCCTATCCACTTCCAACGCATTTTCCTAATTTCCTTCTCAGCTGGAAGCTGGTTTGCCCTCTCCCACAGAAGGCTGTTACTGACGGTCTCCGGCCAATGAATGTTAAGTATTTTGAGTGGACGACTGTTTATAAATACTTGCACCTTCTTGACGGTGGATTTTAGTAGTTCTCCACGTTTCAGCTCCACACAGTAGATCTGTCTTGACGTACGTTTTGAAGATTCTCACTTTGAAATTAGTTAAAAGTTGTTTTGAGTGCCATTTGTTCTTCAGTTGTAGTAATGCGGTCCTTGCTTTGCCAATCCTTCCTTGTTCATCAATGATCCTTCCAAGGTACGTGAATGTTTCCATATCTTCCAGAGTTTCTCCATCAAGTGTGATTGGCTTGAAGTTCTCCGTGTTGTATTTGAGAATCTTGCGTTTACCTTTGGGCATGTTGAGGCCCATTGACCGCTTTTACACTAGTTGTCATCATCTGTATTTCTTCGTGTGTATGGGATAGGAGGGTTAGGTCATTTGCGAAGTTCAAATCGTCTAATTGATTCACAAATGTCCATTGTATTCTGTGCTTCCCCTCAGATGTCGAGGTCTTCATAATCCAGTCAATCATCAGAGGAAAGAGGAAGGGGAAGAGTAGGCAGCCTTGTCTAACTCTGGTCCTTACTAGAAATGCATCTGTCAGCTGTCCTTCATGCACGACTCTGCACTTCAGTGTCGAAGAAGTTTCCATAATGTTCTCTTGTTCACACTGTCAAACGCCCTCTCATAGTCAAGGAAGTTGATGTGCAGTGACGAGTTCATTTAAACTGACTATTCCACGATTATCCGCAGTGTTGCGATTTGGTTTGTGCACGACCAATTCTTACAGAATCCATCCTGTTGATCTCGAAGTTGAACGTCTACTGCGTCTTTCGTTCTGTTCATCAACACCCTGTTGAAAACCTTTCCTGGTACTGACAATAATGTGATGCCTCCGTAGTTCTCACATTTGCTCAGATCTCCTTTCTGTGGTATCTTGATGAGGTATCCTTCTTTCTAGTTTGTCAGTGGTACTTGTTCTTCCTCACAAATCTTCTTGAATAGAAAGTGAAACATTTTTGCTGTTACTTCAATGTCTGACTTCAGTGCTTCAGCTGGTATATTGTCAGGTCTTGCCGTCCAGCTTGTGTCCAATGCTTTTCGCTGATTCTGAGTACTGCCAATTTGTATCTCCTCATTTCCGTTTCTATGTAACTGGTCTACCCGATCTTCCACGTTGTCCGGAAGTTCCATGTACCGATCAAAATTGATTCTCTAGTTGTTAGAAGGAGCATCGACCTCGTGACTTCCGAAAAATCTCGGCTTTCATCATAAGGTGCCATAATTCTTTCTTCATCTCCCAGAGCAGTGTTTAAATTATTTGAACTAAATTTTCTGGTTAGCGTTTCTTCAAGCGAGTTGGGTTTATACTGGATGGGGTCGCTGTCCTCATCCTCAACCCTCCTCCTTTACGCGGGCTTGGAACTGGTAGTAAATCTAGAAAAGCTATAGGTGGAGTTAGTGTTTTGTTTAATATATAACAATATTTATATGTAAACATGAAACAATACTCAGCTAATAAAAGCAGTTTATGAGTAAATTATGGCAGTGAAATAGACGACTTGACGGTTTATGTTGCATTAGTAAAGTTAATCAATACAATAATAATATGTATATTGAGGAATAAACTCATTAGTTGTAAACTGCTCGAATCTGCAAATACTACTGATTAACTAGAATGATAGTGATATTGAAAGTTCTTGATAGTTTGTATGATATTATCTAATGATATGACCGTATGAAAAAAATTAGATTATTTTAGTCGTTGTGATTTTTGTTCAACATTAATTCCGCTTAATCCAACGTAATTATTACTCATTGTCGGATTTGTTTTGTTCCCCAGTCCGTTTCATCCTAGTATAGGACTCCTCGGCAGTGTGCATTCACGTTGGAGTGAGACTGAAAGTCCTGGGTTGGAGTCATATATGCGGGATCGTGGATGAGCACTGCTGAGGAGTGGTGGTGGTTTAACTTGGATCAAGTCATGATTTCAGCAGTGAAAATATTACGAACTCCACGAATCCACTTGTATCAAATTGTTAATAAAACGTGAAAAAATATGATAGCAAGTCATATACAATAAATTTATGTAGTCCAAGTAGTTCAGACATGTATTATATATTCCTAATCACAATGCTTTTTTTTAGACATGAAATCTAGACTGGAACGAAATTATGTTTAAACCATATTTAACTCAAAATTGTATCCTTGATTTCATTTTGTTATATCCTAGTGAAGAAATAAGTATGGGTAACGTCTTATTGTTTAACTATTGAGTAACTAGATTGTGTATATCTATATTCATATTATTATAGGCTTCATTTTGACCTATGGAGTATTATTATACGAATTACTGTTCCTAAAATATATTCAGTTTTATTGATTATTGTCTCCCATGTTAACAGCCACATTTGGCTTGATCTTGTACAAATATTATTTTCTATTTTATGATGTGATGCGGTCTGTCTGTCTGATATATAAACTGAGTATGCTTGAAATAAATGATTCATATAGCAGAAGCTGTAATTGGTGTTCTGGACTCAACTGGTAGGGCTAGGCGGACAAAGGACCAATAAGGACTCTAGACTGCTCATACCGGTCGAACGTCATTATTTTTGGCACAGCGTTAAGATTGGAAAAGTCGTATTTCGATTGATGGGTAATTCACGTGATAAAAAGTCGGATATAAAATAATTACACATTTGACTATCAAACTTTAATGTTCAGTTATTATTTTATTTTACGTTGACATATTAAAAAAGTATATCCAGAATACCTATTTGATAAGTACTTATATTGGTAATAATCAACACTTTCATGCTTTTACTTATATTAAATTTTTAGGGATACATTTAATTGACTGAAAAATGTTTTAAACTAATAATTTTTCCAATTTAAACGAATACACTTCATTATTGGTCTCTTTTTCTTTTACGTCGGTTTAATTCAAATAAAGATCAAGCCAAAATAAAAAGTTTCATCTATTTTGTTTGTACTAGAATTAAAAGTATTTTATATCTCTTGTGAATGCTTCATGGTTTGATTTGTTTTATTTGTTAAAATTGTAGTACTAATCTGTATTTTCATACTTGAAGCGTGAGTTAATTGAAGCTAGACCACTAGGAAAAACCTGGAGCACTGGACGGCCGTTTCGTCCTATTGCGGGACTCCTCAGCAGTGCACATCCACGACTTCGCCTCGCGAGATTCCAACCCAGGACCTACCAGTCTCGCGCCAGAGCACTTAGCCGATAGACCACTGAACCGGCATCCGATGGTGTTTATGTCTAACTCCAGTGCTTCTAGGTTTTCCCTGGTGGTCTAGCTTCAATTGAATCACGCTTTCAACTATGAAAATACTAAATCTCCACAAAAACCTTTTCTGATAATAATCTGTATTTGTTCATTGCTAATAAGAAAATCCTATCGTTATAAATTATTGATCACTGTGTAGTGAAAATTTTCATATCTGTTTAGTCTCTTTTAGAACTGATTCAATTCGATCAATCAAGTTGTAGTGTGGTCACTAGTATAAGTGACTCAATATTGTATGTACTAGGTTGAAGTACTGGGTGATTGAAAGTAGCTGATAGGAAATCTTACCTGACCAAAGTTCTGTGCTGTTTGGTACTCATCTATTCTTGAAAGAAATTAATGCTCTCTGATGAATTCTGTCCCATTACGCTGAGCTCCAAAGTCAAGCATGTTACCAATGAGCTGTTTGAGTTGTGACTGACCTCCTATAGGACTGAGATATTTACAAGTGATCGGTCATCGAGCACTAACAAACGAGATGTTTGTTTAGTCATTTTTCATGTGTCATTATATGACACGACCTTTAAATTATGTGCCTGTATAAATGAGGAAACCCAGCCCTATTCTTTAATTTGGAAAATTATTTTACGGTTTTCTCCAGTGAAGTGAATATGTGCTATCTTGAACATATAATTAGTACAAATAGACAGGAGACAAATATTATCACTGTATTTAAAGCTGTTCAGTTAAATATTGAACAAATATACTCACTTTTTGTGCACATCCATGGGTAAACAGATTGATTACCATAGGAACATGTGTGAACTTACTCTGTTTAAGTGAATAATTTGTTTGCTCAGTGTATCTTGCCGTCTGTATAACAATCGCTAAGAAATATTGGAACACTGTATTCTTGTGAGGTTAGATAAAAATATTGGAATTTATTTCAACGATAAGCATTACACATTCAAATGCATGAAGTTATTGTGTTCTTCATCATTACCACAAGTGAAGCTTGCTGATCAGTTTTGATAAAAATTTAGCAATCTGTTGACAAAAACCATTCACTAAATCTTAGCAGTCTTGGAACTTGTTTAAACTACTAATTCAGTTATTCCACTGCATTTTACCCATGTAATCTAAATTCGTCAATTACTGTTTATTACATAACCGACTTTAATAGTCAAAATATATATTTTGTTGTTTTTTTACTCATCTTTGTTCTTCTTTTCATACACAGACTTGGATGGTTATTTACCCTGAAGGTACGAGATACAATCCATGGAAGCACGATGTGATTGAAGCTTCGCAAAAATTTGCCGTTGAAAAAGGTAAAAGTGACTGCCGTCTTGTAGAATAACGTCATATTTCACTTTTGAGTTTATCGATCCTCATTATAAATAATGTTAGAAACATATTATTGGGGTACTAAAATTTTCGCAAATTTTTTTTAGTCATATGATGGCATTCAACATCAAGGTGTACTTCAAACCTTAATGAAACTAATATTTCTTTATAGTATCAAACTTTTATAACTCAATGTTACTTAAAGATATCATAGGCAAGCTATTCATAACATTGGTTCATTGCTTAGTTTAACATTTAGACAAAATCGCTTCCTATATTCACTTTGTGGGTTTTTTTCATTACGTAAAACCCGATTATTTGTACTTATCATAGATTGATCAGATTTTTTGTACCATCGAATACGGGGGATTAATGGACAAATGTTTCGTCGTAATATATGGGTCAGAAGATATTCAGATCTAACTGTCTAAATTTCTCTAGTTTTCAATAATACAGTCAACTGAGACCACTTTTTGACAAACACAATCTACAAATTAAACTAGTCTTCACAAGACGTCTCCAATCTAAGTATAATACTTCATTTAGTTAACGATTTATTTAATTTTTGTCAATTTAGGAACCGTAGAAAACGTGATAGTTTTTATTCTCGATTGTAAATCTGCTCTAGTTTACCCAGCTTTGACTTCATATTCAAAAATACTTCAAAGAGATAAAAAAAATTTGACGACTATGACATAAATCACACATTCAGCCATTATCTACTGACTGATATTCAATAATTTCCGTCAAATTGTGTACTACAATATAGGCATCATCTATTGTGGTTGATAGATAACTGTCAACAACTCACTTGAATTTTCATTCTGCATTACTATGCTGTTAGAGAGAAATATTATAATTAAAAAGATGTTCGATTATAATGGTTTTTATCAGAAAGGGTTTTGTGGCGATTTTAGTAATTTTATTGTTGAAATCATGAATCAATTGAAGCTAGACCACCATGGAAAACCTGGAAGAACGGGACGGCCGTTTCGTTCAATTCTGGGACTCCTCAGCAGTGCGCATCTACGATCCCGTCTCGCAAGATTCGAATCCAGAACCTATCAGTCCCACGTGCGAGCACTTAACCACTAGACTACTGAATCGGTATCCAACGGTGTTAATGTCTAACTTCAACCAATCCACGAAATTGAGCGACACACTCACTAATGTCTTCAGTCAGTTACTATCTCAGAACACGCCTGATTCAACTACACTGGTTACTGCTTCTCACTAGAACTCCAGGAAATACCTCTTGGAGCGAGTTACTAGTGAGCATATGATTATTAAAAGAAGGGGTTTTGTGGAGATTTATTTAAATTAGTAACTGTAATCGCTTTATAGACATCCATTTTATGTAATATCTTTAATGATTAATTGAAATGTATATTATTATCCTGTTAATCATTATTATTATGATCAGCAATTGTAATAGCATAAAATTTATTGATATTTTATTTCTGTGAAGCTGTTCTCATTAATTTCTAACGACAATTATTGCAATTACAACTGATTACATACCAAAGTCTCATTTATCTGATAATTTAGTGAAATGTCGTCGTTGTGTATTCCATAAATCATTATTTTGATAAGTTAACTGAGGATAGATAGATAACTTATAAGTGGATATGGTTATTCTAGAATTCAACACGTTCCTTTTTTCTCTAAGTCAGTGACAAAGGACATTTGTGGAAATAGATTTTATAATTTAGAAAATTCACAAATTATAGTAACCATAAATGGGTTTACTTATAATTACATTGTATTTTATTAATATATCAGTGATATTATCAAAGTTGAAAGCGTGAGTCAACTGAAGATAGACCACCATGGAAAACCTGGAAGCACTGGTGGTCTAGCTTCAATCGACTAACGCTTTCAACTATGAAAATACAAAATCTCCACAAAAACCCTTCTGATAATCAGTGACATTAATTATAAGTTGTTAATATTTATAACCTATTATGTTCCAAGATGGATAGTTGAAGCTTTTAATGACGACAATTTATTTAGTGCATATATGTTATGCCTAGAATACGCAGACGACATAGTCCTGTTTGGTGAAGACAGTAATAAGATGCATTCTTTTGGTAGCACTGAGCAACAACATCAAGATGTTTTGGATACGTTTCTCCCCATCTAAATGTAAATTGTTACTCCAGGACTGGCCTGCGTCAACACCTGAACTAAGGATAGGGAGTGAACTAGTCAAACAAGTCGATAACTTCACTTATCTTGGAAGTCTCATCAGCCCTAATGGGTTGGTGTCTGACGAAATTTCAGCATGGTTTCAGAGAGCTCGCTTGGCTTTTGCCAACTTACGTCATCTATGGTGAAGACCGTCTGTTAATTAAGGGATGAGTATACTGCGCAGCAGGTCAATCTGTTCTACTTTACGGCTGTGAAACGTGGTCATTAAGAGTAAAAGATATTCGCAAGTTACTAGTATTTGACCACAGATGTCTTAGAAATATTGCTCGCATCTGCTGGGATCACCGATGAGGTCATGAATCTTCATCGACTGAGATGGTTGGAGCACGTGTTACGTATGTCTGAACACCGATTACCACGACGCGCTATGCTCACTAGTATTGGGGATGGTTGGAAGAGAGTTAGGGGTGGCTAAACCAAAACGTGGCATCAGTGCTTGAAGTCACTAACTTCTGGTATGAGCCGTGTTGGTAGATGCAGACTACTTGGTTGGGGTCCGCGTGACTATCGTAACCAATGGTTGGAAACTCTGGGTGGTATAGCTCAGAATCGATCACAATGACGTAGATGTATACACTCTTTATCTTCCCTTAAACCGTGAGATAAAAATTGCTTTATACCTTTCTTTTTATGAACCAATTCTTTCTCATTGAGATGTTTTTTTACTACCATCGAAGTAACGTTTTCTATGAATTCGGTGTTCATCTTGTTGTGCTAATGAGGTTTGGCAACTTGTACCGATGTACATGTGCGCCTGGTCCTACGTTGTAGCTGGCTGAATGACTGTTATGCTCCGCAAACTAACTATAATTATTTACATCCTAATTACAATAATGGTATTTAAGCGTCTGAATGTAACCACAGTCAATAAATAATTTTATTCATATACCGAGAAAAAAAGAAATGAATATTTCATACAGTTGGTTGAAAAAATTAGTTCATCAACTCGTTGTCAATCAGTTAATCAACTAATTCATGTTCAGTAACCTAATCAATATTTCATTATCGGTCTATGACGTACATTCAATGAGCAAATATCTTTGACAGCTGTCTTAAATATACAATAAAATACTTTTAGTTTTGTGCCAAACTGGTCTCGAAATTACTCAATTTTCTTAAAAATCCTAGTGTTTTTGATAATACTTTTTTTGTATCATCTTAGCCCTTATCTGATTGGGTGACACTAATATTAGTCCGTTTGTTTTCATGCTTTCATTGGCATCTAAACAGAGTTGTATCATGTTGTTCTACGTGAGTATTAAATTGTTCATGCAATTCATATTTCCCATCTATTAAAGGCTAATTATTGAAGTATTTTGCATCAGAAGTCTCTATCGGGTTACCAATAGAACCGTTCGTACTAAAATAGTTTAACAGCTTTTTGATTCTTAAGTATCGTACATCGGCTGTGAGCCCCAATACGCTATGCATGGATAACTCCTTATAATCTTCCAGGTCCGAATGTAAAATGTCAACATGCAAAGATAAAAATTTTGGCATGCATCAAAATAGGACAACAAAGTAGTTGGACCTCCAGAATGCATTACTGTTGATCATGGCATCGAAACAAGAAGAACGAAAGTTAAGTGTTTGAATTACTTGAAACTGGTTCAAAAAATTTAGAAAGCTTTTTGATTAGACACAATAACATCTTCAGTGAATGAAAACACTTTGAGTTCAAATTTTATTTAAGTATATATTTCTTTATTCTCTTTTTAAAGTACTTAGGTCTATATAAAAATTCCAAACCCTTAGACTTTATATGGTAATCAATATTCAATATCTTTGTGATGACCTGATGCATACCGATTAATTTCATTGCGCTTGCTTCTTGATGTTACGGTACGATTCCATGTCTTTGTTAACATAAACATGCCTAGCCTAAACACCCGGTTGCACTGATCCTACTGAATTCGATGGTTAACCGCGGTTTAATTTTCCTCATTTCATGCTTTTATGACAATATCTACTACTATAATATAAATGTCTCCTATTGATCAGACTGACATCATAAATATTCTTCATCTAGGTTTTATTATCCATATATTACAGTTGATCAAATTAATGTTATTTAGAATTTCATATAAACAATAAAAATGTTTACAAATTCATAAACAATATGTTAATTTAAGTGTTCAGCATTTATTTTCGTCTTAAATCACATCATCCACTCCAACTTAAAGTAGAAGTAAGCAGAGTAGTACCGTTTAAAATGAAACGCAAAATTACTTTCCGTGATCATGGATTAGAAGTCTTAATGTTAAGCATATCAAATGATCAATTCTCTTGACGTGGATTTTATGTGACAGTCAAATCAAACCGTAACCCTGTGGCACTGTGCTGCATGAACGAGTTAACTAGATTCAAGGTATAGCCCTTCTCGATTTTCGGATGAAATTCACCCATCGAGATGGATACAATATATTTTTGCTTACTAACTGTGATCGGTTTAAGATGAAACCATTAGGCCAAACTGTAACCGAGAACGAAGTTGGGACTCTTATAAATCTATGTGTGTTCTTATAAAGGTTTGAGAAGAAGAGTAATCTATATGCATATGGGCGAATTTATACGTCGTTAGTTTTTAGTCTTATAGGCAAAACCTAAATAGATTCATGAAGTGAATAGAATCTGTTTACACTTTCTAGTATTGTCATTCTCTTTTGCAAAACCATTCAATTACAGAATCTGTCTTCTAATTAGCTAAGAACTTTCTGAAAATTCGTCGGGGTTACTTTAATCTCCTCCATATACTATAAGCACTAACCAATCAAAACGTTTCACGGAGATGTTCCTCATTATGTAAGAATAGTATTTTGTGTATCACTGCCAATTAGAAATCATTGACGATTCGTATCATCCTACTTGGAGAACGAAGGACTTTTTCAGTCAGACACAATTTCAATCAGGATTAAAATTACAATATTTGAATCACGTAGGTAGCAGATTACCTTCAGATCTCTAAGTCGGTGTTTTTTATTTTCGTTACTTATTTTAAGGAATATATATTATGGCTTATAAGTGTAATTCGGTGGCCGATTCCTAACAAGTTTATCATTTTTTGAGAAAGTTTGCTTGAAGTGCATAAAATAATATTTGTCTTAAGATCAGTCATTTTACTTTTTAAAACAAACACTATCTGCTCAATATGCGTTTATTATGTATTAAATCACGTTGAATCTTGTTTTAATATTTAAAATGGGTAACACCTAGTTATCTGAATGAATACATTTCGTGTGCTATTTCATTAGTCAGTTTACACAAACCTTTTATTTGATTCTACACATAGCTAGATCTATCAATAAAATACTGATACGTCTAAAATACTCTAGTGAATAAATTTAAGTAAGCATAACTAAATTCCCATATTCATCATCTTGATATATTTTATTCTGATGATTATTAACTGGATAATGACTCCGTAGCGAACGAGAACTCAGGTAGGGACAACCAATTTATTATTTCGTACAAAATTACAGAATACCTTAGTAAAATATGAGAACCATACAGTGAATGCTTCATTTTGCAAACTTCCATCACTTGTCCTTTACTTTCTGCCTGATTCTTCCTATTCATCATTCCTTTCTAGTTCTCTTTCTGTTTTCTTCAATTCAATCTTCTTAGTATTTTACCGCCAGCCATTCAACTTTTGGTTGGTGTTACATGCTACTTATGTCAACAGAAACAGCATATACCTCAACTCCTTTAGTGATGACTACGTTTTATCAGTCCAGTTAGTCCGACTACCACTAGTCTAAACGGATCGGAAACGCTCGCACTATATTTTAATGTAGATTGTTGGTTGAAAGCAATCATGGAGAAGTAGCATACTTGGTTAGCGTTTACCAACAAAGTGTATTTTCAATTTTCGAGAAATGATTATTTTAAGTAAGATTTAAATCATTGGCAACAACAGCTTATCAAGATAGTTTATCTTGATGATGAGTCGCTATTTATACTAAACTTAAGTTTATGGCTTCTAGTCAAACTATTATAACCATCAACTCGATCTATTTTTATTCAACGGTTAATTATTTTGGAATTAAATGCACCACAAAGAGAATATTTTCTTGCACTCATACAATTGATTATATTCATGATGACTTTTGTTTTTGTGAGAGCCGTAGAAAGGCATCCAACACTTGACCCTAGTGGTATTTACAACAACATAACTAATCGTAAAATATTCCATTTTTTAAAAATCTTTCTAATGTGTTTAATATCACTATATGTTGCTGTATATTATTATAAATTTAAATCAGTATAAATCAAATATGTATACAACCTACAACATCCATAGTACCTACCAGTATATCTACTAGATAATTAGTTTTATCTTCAATCTATGGTATGTATACATGCATACACGCATTAAGGAACTTATATAGTTTTTTATATTTCAGTGTGTTTGAAAACAAATCTCTATATGATAGGTATGATGATAGGAACGTGCAACAATCTCATAACTAGCTAGAGTTACATTGAAAATAACCTTTGAACATTATGAAACAATCATATTGTTATGGCTAGTAATTTGTTAAAATAAATACTTTTTTAGTATAAGACATTGATATTAACCTATTAAGTTTTACGAGACATTAACTAGCTGACGGCGTTATGTCAAGCATCACCACCAAATCATGTCATGATCTATCATGAAACTCATGTCTGCAATTAGCTATAGCTAGAAAGTTTATATATATATATATATATATATATATATATATATATATATATCCTCTCGACTATCATATTATTCTTCTTTGGTCACTGGACAATGTTTTTTTAGGGGACATTTGATTATCAGTATTGTCTGATTCTAATGTGTCCAGAGTATGTTCAAGATAATGCTTACTGAAATAATATTTTAGTCATAAATGATAACAGAATTCTACTGATCGGGGGATGATATAAGAACACTATTTCAGAAGTACTCGATTGGTATTTACAAATAAGATAATGTGTTGATTTACATCAGTGCTCAAATTTTACACATCATTACTTTCATAATAGGATATTAAATATCCCTTACGATGTAATCAATAAAATATTGTAACTACGACACTGAAACACTTTAAGAAATACGAGCTTCTTAATTATGATGACAATTATATGTACATCCTTGATTGTCTTTCTAGACTTCAGTGAGAAGTGAGCTTACCACATTTCTCCATAAAATAATGTTTAAACCGTGATTTACAGGTCACAGGCTTTGAACATGTACCGAAACAAAACTAAATGGTCCGTTAACAGCAAATGACAAACACTATACAGACCTCGTTGCTTAGCACATATTTGAGACAGATCACATGATTGACCTTCACTCGGCCACAATGGTTCTATGGAATAGAAGTCTGCGGAAGATACTCAGGTTTATCGAAGCCCTCGACACACGAAATTTAAAACCACCCTTAAGTTTTCAAAAACATTTGTGTTTACATTGAAACTACCCTATTAAGAGTGGTGACTTTCACATCTTTAATTTTCATTTACCTTTGATTTTATGTAACTTTCCTTTGTTTTCATGTATAAATACTCTGACAAGTCAATTTGCGATCAAATTAGTCGATAAATATTTTGCCAGTATATTACATAGTTTGATAATGTTATTCTTTACATTGTATTATATAAATATGATATCCCGAAGCGACTTATAAATGGTAACTTTTGGGAACTATTTATGGACCAATATGATAAGTATATTTCCTAATGTATAATTGTTAAGTAACTAAAGTATTCATATTCGTGTCCCTCTTATTATAAGATTTATCTTGACCTATAGACTATTATTATGCGATTTACCTTTCTTGAGTTATACCCAGTCTGTTAATTACTGTCCCCCTATTCACAGCCACATTTGGCCAAATCTTGTACAAACGTTATTTTCTATTTTATGGTTCGATGTGGTCTGTATGATCGGTATATAAACCAATTATGTTTGAGAATAATGATTCATATTGCAGAGGTTGTTATTGGTGTTTTGGACTTAACTAGTTAGGCTAGGCAGAAAGCAAGACTGATAAGTGCCCTAGACTGCTCGCACGGTTTTACGTGTATCATTGTTCTGATCGATAATTCATTCCTCTCTGATTGGCGGGGATTGTCACGTCATATATATTAACAGGCAATCAATATAACAATAAACCTATCAACGGGATAAATTGTTTGAAAATATTTGATTTTTCTATTTTCTTCAACAATCTCTTGTTATAGAATATAATATCCCATTGTTACTTTCTTTTATTGTCAAATGCTTATCGCAAATTTTATTTGTATGAAATATCAAACTTATATAGACATCCTAAGCAAGAACTTTCCCGTCCGTCATTTTCTAAACTCTGTTTTAAGTTGATCTTACACAAATTTTATCTTACATTAAAAAAACCATCAATAGAGTATGCTATTAATGTTTCATTCACCAAGTTATTTAGCTTATTTTTAGTCTGGACATACTTATAATCCTCTTATAAGTTAACGCAATACAGTAGCTTTACAACCATGATATATCCGTTAGTTGACAATTTTAAAATGTTACACATTTAAACATGAAATTATTTTCCCAGTAGCGAGTTCATAAAATAAGTTCATTGGATGTGTCGTTTATTAATCACATTGTATATTTACATCCCAAAACGCAATTATTTTTAATGTATACCTACCGGTGAAAAGTTCAGTTTCTTAAGTTACAAAAATACTATGAATTGAATGTTTATAAATGAACAATGTACATACTCAAAATTTTCGTTGTAATGATATACTTTACATTGTTTTTTTTTCAAGTGCAATGAAAAATGACGCTCAGGTTATTCATTATTATTTATATTGTTCATTTTAAAAAGCTGGTATTAAACCGTTCAAGCATGTTTTGGTTCCAAGAAGAAGAGGTATTCAGTTGATATTAAATCAGATGCATGATTGTCTTGATGCCTTGTACGATGTGACAACTGTATTCGCTGATGAAAATGGTTATCCATATGATCATTCTATACCTGCACCAGGTTTGGGAGGTAAGTAAGATTTGATAATATGCTAAATAACAAAATTACGAGAATAATTATATTTTCTTATGAATGGTTGATGTTATACGCCTCAATAAATAGACTTCATAACTATTTAGAATAGACAGACTATCGTTAGAAATCGAAATCTGGATACACGTTTTGTGGTATTTGATTTAATGATATTTTAGTGTTGATATGCATTCTACTAGATAGTTCATGAGAGTTTGAAGCGAATATTACAGAGCCGAAGTTTTAGTTAGTGCACCAATACTGTTCTGTAAATTAATCTGGAGGAGAAATCCTAATTAAGATGAAACATACATCGTGGATTCCACTGCTAGTCACAACCATCCTACTTTATGAAACTTTCGAAATAACGAGTATATCGAAGCGATCTGCACAGGACGCACGTATCACAACAGAAAATTATGGTAATTAAGTTAAGAATATTATTAAGGGGATAATTCAAACTTTCAATAAAAATGGTTTCATTTCCTCACTTGTTTATTTTCAAATAATACATTCGATTATTTGCCGTAGTTTTATAAATTAGGAGTTTTGCACATTCTCGATCACTTATTTTTGTCAAATTTCCGTTCTTTTTTACTGTCTTTCACATCAATAATTCCTCTCTGGAAATGTCTGTTTTGCAGGTTATTTTATTTCGTAAATATGCTTAGATGTTTGCTTTATATTCTTTTTGCTTCCTCTATAAAATGATTAGATTTAATAGTTCAATAATCGTTGTTCACTACTTAAATTAGGCTTCACAGTGAGAGATCTTATCACTTAGTTTTCCTTATCATATCTTAATTTGCTTGATAGAATTTGATCATCACCAAGAAGTATTTGACATATTTGACACTGGCCGTTACTCAGTGACCGACCAATTTTGAAAGTTCAGAATTAACTAAATATTCAATCAATTGATATCACAGGTTATCAAGTGTTTATACTTAGCATGATTTTCAGAGTGAAAAGAGCCGAATGGTTTAATCATTAAATCATTTATGCAAAATAATTGCCTATCTTAAAAGATTATATTAGCTGGTGTGGAAGTAGGTTGGAAAAAATTTAGTAATAACGAAGTCCCTGAGTGCTTGTTTGAACCGTGTTCTTAGATATAAATTACCTGGTTTTAGCTTACATGTTAACAGTAATCACTAATTAAACATTTGGATATCAGCTCAAATTAAATCATAATATACTAGACTAATCAACTATATATATATATTCCTTATATGTTTTCAAACAATATCCTCAATGACAGCATTCGACTATGGCATACTCTAAGCTGATTATGACTGTATAAAGTTTCTGTTTTTCCTTTTGTGCAATTTTAAAAGAAAAAATTATTTATAATTAAGCTATTATCATATTTTATCGATTAAAAAACCGTACACTTATAATTGTATATTTATTATTATCGAATCCTTTTTAATCATTGACCTGACTGCGATTAGACCATTAAAGAAAAAGAAATGCCTTAGGATTAATATTGTGATCAGCTATCACAGGATCTTTTTTTCATTAATGGCATCTTATTAATTAATTAGGGTAAATTGTTCTTATGACAGATCAATAATCATTATTTATGAAAACTATTTCTTCAAATGTATACATATATCTATATCTATATTACTTATAAAAATTGAATATCATAATGCAAATATAAACATTAACCTAACAGAGAAATTACTATTAATCACCATTTTTTCAATTTGACATTTATGTACATTAAAACAAAAAAAAATTTTATTCCTTAAATTTTCTACTGAAATAATTAAAATAATTTAATTTAATTTTTTTTGCATAGTTCACAAATTAAAAGAAAAACAAACATGAATAAGCTTGTTGTTTTAATTTAAATTAAAGTAATATTTCAATTTGTTATTGTTTGTTCTGGTAAATACTATAATGATATAGATTATATATATCCATATAGTAGATGAATGCAAACAATGAGTAAAATAGTTGAAGGCATCATAGAAAACGTGGAAGCACTGGACGGCCGTTTCGTCCTATTGTGGGACTCGACAAAACCCTTTCTGATAATAATAATTAACATCTTTAAGTGTATAAATAAAAACGTATTTAATTTCAAATGCCCTATACAAATATTCAATGAATTAGGTCATATCGTATTGAATAATGAATATTCTAGTTCATTTGTAACAAATATATATTTTGATAGTTGAGATCATGAATCGATTGAAGCTAAACCACCATGGAAAACCTGGAAGCACTGGACTACTGTTTCGTCTTATTATGAGACTCCTCAGCAATGCACATCCACGATCCAGCCTTGCGAGATTCAAAACGGCCGTCCAGTGCTTCCAGGTTTTCCATGGTGGTCTAGCTGCAACTGATTGATGATCTCAACTATCAAAATTACTATAATATTCATAAAACCCCTTCTGAAAATATATGTTTGTTAATAATTTATAGTCCTGCCATGTATTTAAATTTCATGATACTATGTACATCTAGGTAGAGATTCTACTCACAAATCAATAGGTACATCAATTAACTAAACATTGAAATGTACACTTAATCAGACCCTGATATCTTGGACTTTGTATGTTTACACTACATATAAATGAATATTCTACAGTATTTGAGATTGTCAGTGAGTTTAATATTATAGCATTATTGGTTGTTAAAAACTGTAGATTTAAACAACAAACTTTTATGTTTACTTAGCTAATTTATTAATCAGACATTTAAGAATGTAATTTTCACCAATGGTTAAATTCAGCTGGTTAACTATGAAATACAAATAAGCGCTGTATGGTTAATTCTTCTTAGTTTAAAACTAGTCAACAGTTCACGCTGACATAGAATCGACCATATGACATTTATATATTTCAAGAATCACAACATCACAAATCCCATAGTATAATCAAAATAACTACTCAGCATTCATTGATAGTTTTTACTTTCAAAAACAATATAACTATTCATCATAAATATAAACCAGTGGAACCAAACATCATGTCTTTTTCTATCTACAATCTTGTTTGTAAATTGTTTCAATTCGTGGTTTTTAAAATCGATTGCATTCAATATTTTAAAAAATGTATAAAAATGAGTTCAATACTAGTGTGGTGTATGCTACTGATTTTGACAGAAATAAGTAATATGTATCATCAATACCTGGAGGCAGAAGGTTAAAAAGATCAAAGAAAAAAGAACGAGAACAAAGAATGATCGGTGTGGAATTAAAAGAACAATAAAGTAGGAGACTTCGTCCTTTTTTTATAAAACCAAACAAGAAATCAATGCATATTCGACTGCGAATGCAGTAATGTATTCATCTATCGTCAAATAATCAATAAGAGCCATTTATTACCTATTGTCCTTTGTTATACGTAGTAAATGTAAACAAAATAACATGTAACGGAACAACTGGGAGTATTTTCTTTCTACAAGCTACAACTAGTAAGTTTTTTAGTTGTGAAAATATTGGCGTGTTGAATCAAATTTTAAAAGGTTAGGTAAGTAATGTTTGAAGATATTTTGAATGAAACCATTTGGTCTAACTTGTGACAATTAAAAAGAAATTTGAAATCCCAGTTTATTTTATATAGTGAATGTCAAATCCCTACTTTTATCATGGTCCTAATTAATATAATGCCTTGCTCTTGCGTTATATTTTATAGAGTGTCTCTCTGCTATTTCTATTTTTATTATGAGGACGTATTTTCTAATCAGAATCCTTGGTTAGCATTCATATGAATTACCCTAAATTTATACAAATGGTTGTGTTCAACTATAATTGCAAGTATTTGTACCCAAGAAATAAATATTTCCCATATTTCATGGAATTCCTCTCATTACTATTTACTTAAAAGTATATGTTCGGTCTAATTATCTCGATTCACCAAGTCATTACCTTGGTAATTAGAAAGAAAAACTTTTAAGACACATAATTATTCATCTGTTGTAATAAAAATGAACTCATTAAAAATAAAATTGATCGTTAAACCAATTACTTAATGACTTGACGAGTTAAGCTGAATTATTTGTTGCTCTTTTTTAGGTTAAAAATCGTTTCTTATTTATATCATTTTGTTTTACTTTTAAAACACACTATTAGATTGGTTAGTAAGACAGCGAAGTTTATACATCTATTTGAAACGTATACCAATACAGCAAATCCCATGTGATAGTCAGTCAATCACTAAATGGCTATATGAGCGTTATAGAATAAAGGATGAGTAAGTTAAGTTTTTTCTATCACTTAATACACCACTGACTAGTGAAAAAAATTTCATGTTTGTCTAATCCTTTTGAATACTGAACGAATTCGATCGAACATGATGCAGCCTGACTACCAGTCTAATTGGATTGAGATCATGTGCAGTATGTTAAGACGTTACGTAGTTGGAGGTGATCGGATTAAGCTTCTTGCTATTTAACTGTTGACAAATAGCTGGTACTCTTTCAAGACTATGAGTGCACCTTGCCGACTTAGGTCCAACACTTCTCATTTACGACCTCCAACCACATAGCATCTCAGTAAAGCTTCTGATTAGCTAAATTAATGGACGGAATCCGAAATGAAAAATATACTCAACAGGTGAATTTGTTGATTAATTCTAAATTTTATGCAAATGTGGAGGGTAAAAGACAAATAGAATAAATGGAAGTTCGTTTTAAAGGTTTGTAGATATTATTTAAAGTTGAAATAGATTTTCCTCGAGGATTTAGATCAATTGGGATTGAAAGATGAATGTTTCGTGGTAAAGATGGAGTTTTAAGAAGTTTACTAACACGATATTGCTGCAGATTGATTCGATGACTTTCACGTCTAACGGTAAGCAACACTATGTAGAACCTGAATGGTCTACGTTTTCAACTTTATTCGGTTCTCCTCTACGAGGAAATTATCACCATCATAGTTAGAACAACATATGTAAGCGAACAATTGTTTTCAATTAGATCGTCATCAGGCTTTACTCTAATATACATGAATATTTATATGAAAATGTTAGACCAATCAAGGCTATTTGAGTCAATAATAATCATAATGAAATAGAAATACCCATCATATTAAAACACAATTATATGAACGAAGAATATTCTTTTCAATAATTTCTCATCAGGTTCTACAATTATAAATTAATAATCCATAAAAGAAGATTGGCCAAGTTTAAGGCGGAGTACATCAATTTAAGAAACTGTAATATGTGAATCAAGGATTGTTTGTCATATAAAATAAAATAAGATCGAATCGTTAATGTTTTTGGGATGACTAATATGATGTGTTAACTAGAATCAGTTTATAGGTGAAATGAAATCGTAAGATAAATGAACAGAATATATATAGTTGACATGGGGGTGAGAGATAGAACAATGGGATTACAAATCGGAAATTACGTAATATGTAGAATTATATAAATTAGGTCAGATATAGTAGATAGGGGGTGGATGACGAATAAATTTCTCTAAAAGGTTAGCAGGTGTGATAATAATAATAATAATAATAATAATAATAATAATGATCCGAATAGCTCTGCATCCAAAAGAAATATGTACAGCCGCTCCTTTTACCTTGGCCAACTTCAGGGTCAACTTGTTAATGATCAATTTAGTAATATGGTGACATTAATTTGATTAATGTTCACTTCTATATCTCAAACTTAGTTTATCTACACATCTTATCAGTCATTCTTCTTATTATTATCTTTATTATTATTATTATTACAATCAAATAGCCTTGATTGGTCTAACATTTTCATATAAATATTCATGTATATTAGAGTAAAGCCTGATGACGAACTAATTGAAAACAATTGTTCGCAAACAAATGATAACCAAAATAAAATTTTTACAAATAATAATAATGTCATTTATTAAGTTATGTCCGGCCATGGAAGGGATAGGGGGGTTACGAATTTCTTCTGTACACCTAAATTGGGATGGAATGTACGAATTCCTATGGCTTCTGCTATGTGAAGTAGACGGGAGCGAACCCCGTTGGGAAACGATGGAGGTATACGATAGATCACTTGAAATGATTTCAATTTATCGACAATATTTGGAAAGGGCCAAATAAAAACAATACGCAGTTCTATCTTGACACATCTAATTGATAGTGGTGATAATGTAGATAAATCGAAATCATTTCGAGTGATCTATCATATGCCTCCATCATTTCCCAACGGAATTCGTTCCCCTCTCCTTCATATAGCTGAAGCCATACGAATTCGTACATTTAGTCCCAATTTATGCATACAGAAGAAATTTGTAATCCCCCTATACCTTTCATGGCCAGACAAAAGTTAACAAATGATATTATTATTATTATTTAAATATCATTTTTAACATTAACACCGTTGGATGCCAGCTCAGTGGTCTATCGGTTAAGGGCTTCGGCTCGAGACTGGTAGGTCCTGGGTTCGAATCTCGCTCGCGAGAGCAGGTTCGTGGATGCGCACTGCTGAGGAGTCCCATAATAGGACGAAACGGTCGTCCAGTGTTTCCAGGTTTTCCATGGTGGTCTAGCTTCAATTGACTCACGCTTTCAACAATGATAAAAACTAAATCTCCACAAAACCCCTTCTATAATTTTTAACATTGTTATCATTTTAAGCAGAGATGGATAGTGGCTAGCAGTGGAATCCAGGACGCGCGTTTCGTCCTATTTGGGACTCGTCAGCTGGATGTACCTGCATCTCAGAGTTGATGTTCACTCTGGGACTCGAACCCAGTACCCTCGCTTCAAACGCCATCGCGTTATCCACTCGGCCACTGAGTCCTGATAGCCACTTGCTTGTGCGATGGGGTGAAGTTTGAATTCACTTAGTATTGTTTGTTTGGATCTTCCCATCGATGTGTTTAGGACTGCAACTGGTCAGTCTCTAATTGGCATATGTGCATACTGTGCGTATTGCCTCGATATACCTTAATTCACAAGCATGGTAAGCAGAGATGGATAGTGGCTAGCAGTGGAATCCAGGACGCGCGTTTCGTCCTATTTGGGACTCGTCAGCTGGATGTACCTGCATCTCAGAGTTGATGTTCACTCTGGGACTCGAACCCAGTACCCTCGCTTCAAACGCCATCGCGTTATCCACTCGGCCACTGAGTCCTGATAGCCACTTGCTTGTGCGATGGGGTGAAGTTTGAATTCACTTAGTATTGTTTGTTTGGATCTTCCCATCGATGTGTTTAGGACTGCAACTGGTCAGTCTCTAATTGGCATATGTGCATACTGTGCGTATTGCCTCGATATACCTTAATTCACAAGCATGGTAAGCAGAGATGGATAGTGGCTAGCAGTGGAATCCAGGACGCGCGTTTCGTCCTATTTGGGACTCGTCAGCTGGATGTACCTGCATCTCAGAGTTGATGTTCACTCTGGGACTCGAACCCAGTACCCTCGCTTCAAACGCCATCGCGTTATCCACTCGGCCACTGAGTCCTGATAGCCACTTGCTTGTGCGATGGGGTGAAGTTTGAATTCACTTAGTATTGTTTGTTTGGATCTTCCCATCGATGTGTTTAGGACTGCAACTGGTCAGTCTCTAATTGGCATATGTGCATACTGTGCGTATTGCCTCGATATACCTTAATTCACAAGCATGGTAAGCAGAGATGGATAGTGGCTAGCAGTGGAATCCAGGACGCGCGTTTCGTCCTATTTGGGACTCGTCAGCTGGATGTACCTGCATCTCAGAGTTGATGTTCACTCTGGGACTCGAACCCAGTACCCTCGCTTCAAACGCCATCGCGTTATCCACTCGGCCACTGAGTCCTGATAGCCACTTGCTTGTGCGATGGGGTGAAGTTTGAATTCACTTAGTATTGTTTGTTTGGATCTTCCCATCGATGTGTTTAGGACTGCAACTGGTCAGTCTCTAATTGGCATATGTGCATACTGTGCGTATTGCCTCGATATACCTTAATTCACAAGCATGGTAAGCAGAGATGGATAGTGGCTAGCAGTGGAATCCAGGACGCGCGTTTCGTCCTATTTGGGACTCGTCAGCTGGATGTACCTGCATCTCAGAGTTGATGTTCACTCTGGGACTCGAACCCAGTACCCTCGCTTCAAACGCCATCGCGTTATCCACTCGGCCACTGAGTCCTGATAGCCACTTGCTTGTGCGATGGGGTGAAGTTTGAATTCACTTAGTATTGTTTGTTTGGATCTTCCCATCGATGTGTTTAGGACTGCAACTGGTCAGTCTCTAATTGGCATATGTGCATACTGTGCGTATTGCCTCGATATACCTTAATTCACAAGCATGGTAAGCAGAGATGGATAGTGGCTAGCAGTGGAATCCAGGACGCGCGTTTCGTCCTATTTGGGACTCGTCAGCTGGATGTACCTGCATCTCAGAGTTGATGTTCACTCTGGGACTCGAACCCAGTACCCTCGCTTCAAACGCCATCGCGTTATCCACTCGGCCACTGAGTCCTGATAGCCACTTGCTTGTGCGATGGGGTGAAGTTTGAATTCACTTAGTATTGTTTGTTTGGATCTTCCCATCGATGTGTTTAGGACTGCAACTGGTCAGTCTCTAATTGGCATATGTGCATACTGTGCGTATTGCCTCGATATACCTTAATTCACAAGCATGGTAAGCAGAGATGGATAGTGGCTAGCAGTGGAATCCAGGACGCGCGTTTCGTCCTATTTGGGACTCGTCAGCTGGATGTACCTGCATCTTAGAGTTGATGTTCACTCTGGGACTCGAACCCAGTACCCTCGCTTCAAACGCCATCGCGTTATCCACTCGGCCACTGAGTCCTGATAGCCACTTGCTTGTGCGATGGGGTGAAGTTTGAATTCACTTAGTATTGTTTGTTTGGATCTTCCCATCGATGTGTTTAGGACTGCAACTGGTCAGTCTCTAATTGGCATATGTGCATACTGTGCGTATTGCCTCGATATACCTTAATTCACAAGCATGGTAAGCAGAGATGGATAGTGGCTAGCAGTGGAATCCAGGACGCGCGTTTCGTCCTATTTGGGACTCGTCAGCTGGATGTACCTGCATCTCAGAGTTGATGTTCACTCTGGGACTCGAACCCAGTACCCTCGCTTCAAACGCCATCGCGTTATCCACTCGGCCACTGAGTCCTGATAGCCACTTGCTTGTGCGATGGGGTGAAGTTTGAATTCACTTAGTATTGTTTGTTTGGATCTTCCCATCGATGTGTTTAGGACTGCAACTGGTCAGTCTCTAATTGGCATATGTGCATACTGTGCGTATTGCCTCGATATACCTTAATTCACAAGCATGGTAAGCAGAGATGGATAGTGGCTAGCAGTGGAATCCAGGACGCGCGTTTCGTCCTATTTGGGACTCGTCAGCTGGATGTACCTGCATCTCAGAGTTGATGTTCACTCTGGGACTCGAACCCAGTACCCTCGCTTCAAACGCCATCGCGTTATCCACTCGGCCACTGAGTCCTGATAGCCACTTGCTTGTGCGATGGGGTGAAGTTTGAATTCACTTAGTATTGTTTGTTTGGATCTTCCCATCGATGTGTTTAGGACTGCAACTGGTCAGTCTCTAATTGGCATATGTGCATACTGTGCGTATTGCCTCGATATACCTTAATTCACAAGCATGGTAAGCAGAGATGGATAGTGGCTAGCAGTGGAATCCAGGACGCGCGTTTCGTCCTATTTGGGACTCGTCAGCTGGATGTACCTGCATCTCAGAGTTGATGTTCACTCTGGGACTCGAACCCAGTACCCTCGCTTCAAACGCCATCGCGTTATCCACTCGGCCACTGAGTCCTGATAGCCACTTGCTTGTGCGATGGGGTGAAGTTTGAATTCACTTAGTATTGTTTGTTTGGATCTTCCCATCGATGTGTTTAGGACTGCAACTGGTCAGTCTCTAATTGGCATATGTGCATACTGTGCGTATTGCCTCGATATACCTTAATTCACAAGCATGGTAAGCAGAGATGGATAGTGGCTAGCAGTGGAATCCAGGACGCGCGTTTCGTCCTATTTGGGACTCGTCAGCTGGATGTACCTGCATCTTAGAGTTGATGTTCACTCTGGGACTCGAACCCAGTACCCTCGCTTCAAACGCCATCGCGTTATCCACTCGGCCACTGAGTCCTGATAGCCACTTGCTTGTGCGATGGGGTGAAGTTTGAATTCACTTAGTATTGTTTGTTTGGATCTTCCCATCGATGTGTTTAGGACTGCAACTGGTCAGTCTCTAATTGGCATATGTGCATACTGTGCGTATTGCCTCGATATACCTTAATTCACAAGCATGGTAAGCAGAGATGGATAGTGGCTAGCAGTGGAATCCAGGACGCGCGTTTCGTCCTATTTGGGACTCGTCAGCTGGATGTACCTGCATCTCAGAGTTGATGTTCACTCTGGGACTCGAACCCAGTACCCTCGCTTCAAACGCCATCGCGTTATCCACTCGGCCACTGAGTCCTGATAGCCACTTGCTTGTGCGATGGGGTGAAGTTTGAATTCACTTAGTATTGTTTGTTTGGATCTTCCCATCGATGTGTTTAGGACTGCAACTGGTCAGTCTCTAATTGGCATATGTGCATACTGTGCGTATTGCCTCGATATACCTTAATTCACAAGCATGGTAAGCAGAGATGGATAGTGGCTAGCAGTGGAATCCAGGACGCGCGTTTCGTCCTATTTGGGACTCGTCAGCTGGATGTACCTGCATCTCAGAGTTGATGTTCACTCTGGGACTCGAACCCAGTACCCTCGCTTCAAACGCCATCGCGTTATCCACTCGGCCACTGAGTCCTGATAGCCACTTGCTTGTGCGATGGGGTGAAGCGAGGGTACTGGGTTCGAGTCCCAGAGTGAACATCAACTCTGAGATGCAGGTACATCCAGCTGACGAGTCCCAAATAGGACGAAACGCGCGTCCTGGATTCCACTGCTAGCCACTATCCATCTCTGCTTACCATGCTTGTGAATTAAGGTATATCGAGGCAATACGCACAGTATGCACATATGCCAATTAGAGACTGACCAGTTGCAGTCCTAAACACATCGATGGGAAGATCCAAACAAACAATACTAAGTGAATTGTTATCATTTGTTCGTAATTTTCCTCCTCTTTCCGTTTGTATTCTTCATTATCTATTTACTTACATACTTCTTATTACGTAATGATTTTAATGTTTGGTGATTACTATTCCAGTCTATTTACCCACGTTTGACCTCTTAATTCTTATGTTTAATTATTGATAAGACTTTTGTTATCGTAATTTACTATTCTTACTACTATCAGTACACCTGTCTTCCCACTATATACTTGTACTTTTAACTATTATTACGCTTGGTAACGTATTTCTACTTCATTGTGAATATTATTGACTCAAATAGCCTTGATTGGTCTAACATTTTCATATAAATATTCATGTATATTAGAGTAAAGCCTGATGACGATCTAATTGAAAACAATTGTTCGCTTACATATGTTGTTCTAATTTTCACAATGGGAACCTTCATAGTTCTCATAAATATTTGGAGTAAGAAATCAAAATTATACAACCATCAGTTCTTCCCAGTTTTTTAACGTTTTTCTGGTTGATATCAATTTAAGATAAAAATGACTAAAAAGTGAATAATCTTATTTTGTGGTTTAATTGTCTAGTTAGTGACGGATTGTTTATTTTGACAGTTCTCCTCATAATCTGTATCTACATAGCTATTAAATATATGTTTCTTCTTAATTTGACTATGATTTCTTCGGTATACATAAGTACAGAGTTTGTAACTTAATGGTTGTATAACGTACATAGGGATGTTGAAGATATATCAAATAATATGTTTTTACAGTCAAATAGTCAAAAACTAGTTGATCAAGTTGAGCACTAAAAAGATACATTCTAATTCTAACACAAGGTTATGAACTAAGTAATTCATTTTCGAAGCTTTCTTTGTCATTGTGGTCAACATCATCACATCCTGCATCAAAGTTGCAACCTAGAGATTTAATCATCCTTCTCAAAAGGTCATATGCCACTCAGAATAACGTTTTTACCAGTTTAGCTTATTTCGATTGGGATACGTGAAGTTTGGGGTGATTGTTCAAATCGTTGTTTTGCACCACAAACTAAATTACAAACAGACAGCTCTTGCAAATCGTGAAATAATGAATGACTATTCTTTAATATGATGAGAAATGACAATCAATTACGGCGACTCAATATAGTAAATCAACTTGAAGTTGAACATGTGAACCGTTAGATTTCATATTAATAGTATAAATTAAACATACTCCCCACATACCCTCACTGTATATTTACAAATCTATACACTGTCCCTTAGTTTTCAATGGTAATGCAGCTAAAATCAGTTTATGTTACGAATAATCTTGTCTGATTGAAACACTTTTTGTTTTTCTTCCTTATTAATTCATAGTTTTATTGATAATTTACAAACAAGATTCTATAAATCATCTCAAACATTGCAAAATCACAGTCATACTAATCATCAAAATACCGTCGAGTCGATAACAACACTGAACAATTATGATGTGGATTATAATAATAATAATAATAATATTAATAACAGTAGTAAAAATATCCGATGTTTACCAAATGATTTACTAATAATTAAAAAGAATTTTCTTGATTGTTTCACCAGTGAAATGTCTAAACAATGCTTAGAACTTGAACAATTTCACCTTTTCGATTTCTTACCATATGCAATATTGTTTTATGGTATTACAATTTATTGGATTATTGGATTTGGTTGGTATGGTATAATGAGTTATTTAACTGCAGGTTTAATTGGAACTATTGGTGGTCAGCTATATGTGCATTTCGCAATTTAATAATATTTAAAGATATGTATAAGTTTATGACGCTTTACTCAATTTATTAGATATATTACAAAAATTGCATGTATATTATATTTGACATGCAATAAAGTGCTTACTTAAAAAGTAGTATCTTGGTTGTTTTTCTTTAATGTGAAAAAAAACTACATACCGTTTGTCGACCAGCATATATTCATTGTTTTGTGCTCTATGTATGGGTGCAAATATGCGTGTTACGTTTGTTAAAGTGTAGGCACAATTAGTAGTTGAACACGTTTAATTATTTTAGGCACACATATGTATACACATATGATCCAAATCAGCGTTTACATGCCTAACGTAATTTTATTTATTTTTTAATATCATGATATACGTGCCCTCCATGACATGTTGCTAAATTATGTACTATGACGAATGGACGTGGTTAACTCCACCTGTAGCACTTCTAAGACTACTGCCGATAACAAGCCCGGATAAAGAACGAGGGTTGGGTGTTAGGTGCTGACATACCGTCAGATCATAACTAGCTAGTTTCCAAGATGAAACTGAAGCTAACAAATCACTGAAAAACTGGATAAACAGCATTACAAAAGTTCAATACGGCCTTCCTTGAAGATACTAACAGACTCAATGAATTCAAGATAACTCTCAACAACAGATTTCAAGCTCTACAGGATCCACTGAAAGAAGAAAAAACTATGATAGAGTACAACTGGTAAGGGATCAAAGAGGCATTAACTTCAATGTGTCAGGAATTTCTGGGCCCCAAGAAGTAACTTCATAAAGAATGGATCTCTATGGAATCCCTGAACAAGATTAAAGAAAGGAAGAACAAGAAGACAGCAACTAACAACAGTCGAACACGAGCAGAGCAAGTCAAGGCACAGGCTGTATACATAGGAGCAAACAAGTAAATGAAGGGAAACATTAGGGCTAGCAACGACAACGGAAGAAGCTGCAAGAGAGGAACGTATGAAACAACCTGTGATATTTAAAAGTCATAATTACAAAATGGGTTTAAATGACTTACTTGAAAGTGTTTCATTTCGGGTTATTTTGATGACATATCGGCATAGTTAAGCAAAGGTGTTAATAAATTTAATAGTCTATTTTAATGTTCCGCTGATATAACTCCGCCTCAGATGAACGTATAAATATACTATGAACATAAATCTTCCATATAACTCCGTATATTGGCTAGGGTAACCCCGTTTTTGTTACGGCAGTAATAAGTACTAAACTCTATATAATAAAATCCTGATTAGTTTTGAATTAGTTAACGAGATAACTTATCAGTGAGCACTGACAACTACGCATAGCATGGGACCTTTGACCTTCAGATCTCGTGTTAAACGTCTTACATTCAGATCAATGAGCTGGTATTCACTAGTTTACATGTCCGATAATTCAGAATATTCCTCAACTATTAGTAGTATTTGTCACATACCTGAAATTGTCAGAAATGTGAATTGTCGAATACTGATTCAGTGGTTTAAAAGCTGACCTCGTCTCCAGACCTGTTCGCCTTACATCCGCTCCCTGCTGTGGGCGTCGAGTTTCTCTGTAAAGGAGACCCGAACTGTATGGAGGTAGATGTCCAATGCTTCATAATTGTAAAAGGCTGTCTGACTTTATTTGTTCATTGATGCAAGACTTGAAATTGAACGATCTCCTAAACACCCTATGATAAAAATAATTTTAACAGTGAAAATTTTAAAATAAATCACTAAATATCCTAGATGTCCACATTTCCTGTTCGTCAAGTAATCAGATTTGGGAGGTTTTGACGTAAGTTTTAGTAGTTCCAAAAGTTTAAAAAATAGTTTACAATTTATCTTCATAGTGTGAAATTTTTTTAGCTAAGTACAGGCAACATTGTTAGCACAAACTTCAAAACTCAGAATGAAAACTTCACAATTACAACACTTCACTCAGAGAATAAAATTCCACTAAAATCGTCCACCTAGGTTACAATTCTATTCACGGCATTTCAAAATTATATGAGCATAAAACCATTCTTCTTATTTAAAATACCCAGGCTTTTTCCAATGAACAAATTGATTTTTTCCATGATTGTCTTCGTCAACATGCTCTACCTACGAATACCGAACATAGATCACGAGTCAACTAACCAATGGAAAGAAGAATAGCTGAGAAAAGTAGAAGGCAACTGGTATACCTAGTGATCACTGGTGAATATTACAAGATACACAAATACCAAGATATCATGGAAGATGGAAAGAAGAAGCCGAATAGAATAGAATGTTCACGCTATTACACATAAGTAGACGACTAACTTTTGTCCCAATCAAAGTCCAGCCCTCTTTTTGACTTTCTTTAATGTACCAGTGAATGGTAAACCAAGATAAAAGGAACTTCAAATACAGTCATCTAAACAAACTTCTTGTTTTAATATCAATTCAAAATGTTGCAAAGTTAGCGTGATCTTCAACTTTTTCAATTTCATCATATCACTACACTGAAAATTGATATGAACACTAATAATGTTTGTACTCAAAAACAAAATATATTCGTTTTTTTCAAGAAACAACATTTCTTTTATTGTTAGCTTTGTCATGATAATGGTTGTTCACATGCACGTAAGTACATGTTTGATTACCTACATAATAAAGAAAGCTAGTCCAAACATGTATACCACTAGGATATAGAGTCTTTTTGAAATATTTGCTTAAATCTGGAGTTTAAATTAGTGATTTATCACTACGTTTGGTGCAAGATATTAGTTGATCAAAAGTATTTCCATATTCAAAACTTTGTAACAAATCTTAAATAAAAAGCTTTTTTTCTTGAAAAAGCTTGAACCAGATTGCCAGGCGAAACGTTGGATTTACTTCAAATTCATTCGCTGAGATTTTACAAATATGTTCTTCCTATTTATTGTCTTACATCAACTCGGCATCCAAATAGTATGAAACTGTTCGCTCTAATTAAGACGAAAGTTTTTATATATTTATAACAAATCTATTCAGTATGTAATGAAACAGCAGTTTGCCACTCAACCGTCTCTACAATTGATCATAGCGAGCGCTTAACCACTTAGTACTTTAATGGTGACTCTTCCATGAAAAATATCAACACTTAATCACTTCATCTAAAGCGTTATACTTTAATTAATGTTTAAACTCCCGTATTCGTCCGAGAATTAGAAAAATTACTCATAATCACATAATACTATGAATCAGTTGTTTAAAATAAATAGAAAAGTAGTTGAAAAACGTAAAGTGTGCAGGACTTAACGTGCAGTGTCAAAAGTCATCTACCACATTTTCTCCTATACTTACTTACTTATGCCTGCTACTCCCAATGGAGCATAGGCCGCCGAAAAGCATTCTCCAACCTACTCTGTTCTGGGCCTTCCTTTCTAGTTCTATCCAACTTTTGTTCATTCTTCTAATGTCTGTCTCCAATTCTCGACGTAATTTGTTCTTCGGTCTGCCTCTTCTCCTTTGAACTTCAGGACTCCAAATGAGGACTTGTCTAATGGCTCAGTTGTGTGCTTACCACAATGTGTGTCCTATCCACTCCCGCGCTTCTTCCCGATTTCTTCCTCCACTGAAATCTGGTTTGTTCTCGCCCACATTAGGTTGTTGCTGATAGTGTCTAGCCAACGGATCCGGAGTATCTTGCGTGGACAACTGTTAATCAACACTTGTATCTTTTGGATAATGGCTTTCGTAGTTCTCTAAGTTTCTACCCCATACAGTAGAACTGTCCTGACATTTGTATTGAAAGTTCAGACTTTGGTGTTGGTTGACAACTGTTTTAAGTTCTAGATGTTCTTCAATTGTAGATATGCTGCTCTTGCTTTGCCAATCCGCGCCCTCACATCTGCATCAAATCCATCGTGTTCATCAATGATGCTGCCCAGATATGTAAGGATTTTTACATCCTCAAAAGCTTCTCCATCAAGTTTAATTCGATCGATGCATGTCGCGTCGTACCGGAGAGTCTTGCTTTTCCTCTTGTGTATATTGAGACCTATTGCTGCTGGGGCTGCTGCTGCTACACTGACCGCCTTCTTCTGTATTTGTTGTTGCATGTGCGATAGAAGAGTAAGATCATCTGTGACGTCTAAATCGTCCAGCTGCATCCTAGCTGTGCATTGCGTCCCGTGCTTCCCTCCAAATGTTGACGTCTTCATGATCCAGTCGATCACCAGGAGAAAGAGAAAGGCTGAGAGTAAACAACCTTTTGAGATGGTGGAGAAGATTTGTAGCTCAGGTGGGTAAACAACCTTGCATGACACCGGTCTTTACCTCAAACGAGTCAGTGAGTTGTCCTCCATGCACGATTTTGCAGTTTAATCCATCATAGGAATTCCGTATGATATTGACTGCCTTCTCTGGCACACCGTTGAGTCGAAAAAGCCTCCACAGTGTTGTCCTGACCACGCCATCAATTTTTTTCTCATAGTCAATGAATTGGTGTAGAGTGATGGATTCCATTCAATTGATTACTCCACAATGATCCGTGAAGTTGCGATTTACTTTGTACACGATTGATCCTTACGGAATCCAGCCTGTCGGTCTCGAAGTTGGGCGTCTACAGAGTCCTTCATTCTGTTTAACAATACCCTGTTGAAGACTTTTCCTATACATAAGGGGAATTCAAATATTAGAAATATCTCTGAAAGATATGAACTAAGGCTATTGATATGAGTATTCATAACTTCCATTATGTGTCACATGAGACCTGAAACACACAGTTATGTGATTGGTAGAATACAGCAAATTATCACTTTACTTTTATTTGAAGAAATTCACTCTCAAAAACTCCATAAACTTATCAATATACGCTTAATTGTAAAATAGCTATTTATGATACACCATAAAAGCAGTATTATTTAAAAGTATATTATTCACATTTGCATACTACTTTGTTTCATCGGTAACTGTGGTTTTATATTAACTGATAATTCCTTTGTACTTGACCGCGCGCTTATTACGAATTCCAAACAAAATACGTCCATTTGTGCTCATCTAGTTCCACCTCTC